ATAAATTACAGCGTATTTGGGACATAAAAAGGTAAGTCTTCACAAAATTTCGTGAAAAAAGAATTATTTTTGAAAAGGATAATAATAAAAAACCAAAAACATGTTTTTTTTTAATTTTTCACATACACATTTTGAGGTTATGTGAAAAAAGTGTAAATACAAAAGTTTTAGATCTTTTTATTATCTACTACTTTGCCATTTGACTTTTTCCATAGGACTTTTACTTTTGCCGGAAATCGAGAAAAACCGTTTTTTACCCTTAACCCCCCATCCCCTTCCCAACCTCAGATCGCCCGTAAATTAATTATTTTTCCTTTCATTTTTATAATATTCCCCTCCTTTTCTAATGGGTTTCATCCTACTATAATTTTTTTTTGTTTTAAAAATTGGCGACCCTGGTCTACATCGGATTGAGACAGAGGACGGAAATTCATACATCAGATCAATTTCATCTAGGGCCAAGATGCGACTTCCATGAACCACTACTACTTTAGTATATTACCACTACTACTACTACTCGTACTAACCTGTCTGAGTTACTAATTTATCTCTCCCATTAATACCTACCTACCAATCGTAAATCTGGTAATGGTAGACCCAAAAACAAGAGGCTGATTATATATAAGCGAAAATCAAAAGTAATTATGTACTTTAGATATTAAATTTCCTCATCTTTTTTTCTAACACGACTAGATTTTATTAAAAAATAAAATTTTGTAATTTAGCGCCATCTAAAATGTATCTTTAAATTACAACAATACTGTACAGCGCCATCTATCAAAATCATCAAACAGCACCAACACAACACAAGTGTGAAAACAGTTTTCCATAATTAAACTCACAAAATATTCTATCCAATATCAATAATCGAGTATAAATCAATGATTTAAATGAATGTAGGGTTCTGAATAAGTTAATATGCATTTTGTTCAAAGATAAATTACGTTGAGGTTTTATTTTATTATTAGCGCTGTCTTGCGTTAATAAAAGTAATTCATTTAGTTTACCTCGTCGGTAACAGATGGCAGATCCTTCCATTAATCTAAAGTTGTTAAACTAATACCAATGAGCAAAGCAGTCTTTGTTCCAACAAATACGAAGTACTGAATTTATCTGGATATTATGACATTTTATTGAAACTCGAGGTGGAGTCAGAGGATACGTAAGGTGGCCATAGTTCTTACTATCCGATTCGAGGCTGTATGCGTGTTGGGCCTGCGAACAGCACAATCGTGCTTTACCAGAGGAACCTCGCCGTGAAAACAATACCCTGGGCCAGAAAATTCAAGCATCTAGGGGTCATCCTGAATAAATCCGTGACCTTCGAACTTTACGTAAGGTCTATGAACAACCGTGCTGCGCTTATCCTCGGGCGACGTAAACCGTTCCTTCGGAATAAGATAATAATACTCTAGAAAACATACAGAGTCCCAATCATGATTTATGTGAGTTTTTTATTTTATATACTTATTGCGTTAATGGGTGAAGGAGCTCACGGCCCACTTAACGTTGAGTGTTTCTTGGACGAGCAAGTCATCACAGTATGAATACCGCCACCTCCTTTGAGACATGAAGTCCAACTCTCCATTGTATAGTACATATAATAACTGTCCTACTCTTCAAACCAAGCGCATTACTACTTCCTGGCCGGAATAGCAAGGTAGTGGTACCTATCTGTGCGGGTTCACAAGACTACCAACAGTAATTACGCAAATTGTAATTTTTGCGTGTCTGATTTTTATTAGGTACACGATGTTACTTGGTCTCTCTCGTTCCATACGAATGTACCGGGCGTCTTATCCTTTAGGCCACGACGACTTTGCGAAGCGAGTTTTGGAAGACTACATCGCCTCAGCGGCGCAGCCACACCGCGGCCCGGCGCACGCAGCAGCCAACCACCGTCTACTGCCGAGAGGCCTAGAAACGTCCTCGCGTGTCCTTCTGCTCAACACTCGTTCGTTATTATATTAAATATTGTATTTACGTAACTAATAATTTTTATGGTAAAATAACTATGTTTGATGTTTTTTTAATTGGTATTGGTAAGTACATCGTAATTATTACATTTCCTTAGATGATTCTTGTCCTTCTGAATGTTGCCTGGTGGAAATCGCTCTTAACGACAGGATTGGCCATTGCACTTTTTGTATGTAATTTATTTATTTTGTAATTTATGTATTTGGGTTGCTTTTGTTTATTGGTGGAAAATAAAGAATACTCTACAATCTACCCATTACGGTTGTTTTCAGCTCTTTTTTTTTTTTGCTTAGATGGGTGGGCGATCTCACATCCCACCTGGTGTTAAGTGGTTACTGGAGCCCATAGACATCTAGAACGTAAATACGCCACCCATCTTGAGATATAAATTCTAAGGTCCCAAGTATAGTTACAACGGCTGCCCTACCCTTCAAACCGAAACGCATTGCTGCTTCACGGCAGAAACAGGCAGGGTGGTGGTACCTACCCGCGCGGACTCACAAGAGGTCCTACCAGTAATTACGCAAATTATAACTTTGCGGGTTTGATTTTTATTACACGACTAGCGACCCGCCCTCGCTTCGCTTCGGAAACATCAAAACACATATGAAACCAAAAAAAAAAAAAAAAAAGTAGCCATGTTCATCAGGGACAATGTCGGCTTCTAATGGAAAAATAATTTTTCAAATCGGTCCAGTAGTTTCGGAGCCTATTCGAAACAAACAAACAAACAAATCTTTCCTCTTTATAATATTAGTATAGATTAGTATAGATGTTATTCCTTCACCGTGGAGGGCAATCGTGAACATTTGTTAAGTACGTATAGTAGGTATTTCATTAGAAAAATTGGTATCCGCCTCGGATTCGAACACCGGTGCATCGCTCAACACGAATGCACTGGATGTCTTATCCTTTAGGCCACGACGAATTCTTTAAAGACGTTTAAAGAAGAAAATATCAAAGCGCTCCGGAAAGCGTGGACCAGGCTTCATTCCCGGGTCATCTGATTATGACCATCATCCCAGGAACGGTGGTAATAACGAAATACCGAGAGCATTCCAAACAAGACTTTCAGGCACTCCCCTTGAAATTTATGGATCAAAGAGGCAAATTTTGATAATGTTTTAAATATTACCCCGAACTTTTCACCGCGCTGCGTAGGGAGAATGATTTAAAAATAAAACTCAAGGCACACAGGCAACGATTTTATTTCGTCAACCATTTAAAAAAGTCTAACATAACCGTGTACCGTGTACACAACGTTATCAAAATATAAATATGTAGACCCAGATACGGCCGCGATCAAACACATTCACGCAACGCACTCACTAAACCTAGACACACACACACACATACGCTCACATACAGTCGCGCACACTAGTATTAACACTAAACAATTTATATATTAATAAATTCGTCTCTTTGCTACTATTCTTACTATCATAATACTATACACAAGTTAGTTTTATGTCATTTTTAACACGTCAAGAATGTTATGTACAGTGTAGGTAAACTATTCTTATATTTTCTTTGACTCTAATTTGAAAATTGTTACATTTTGAATACATATATTGAACTGGTAACGTAATATTTATTCGGCTCTGATGTACCCAGTCGATACAATTTAATACTATGCGTTATGCTTTCACTGGGTTATGGTGCGGATGATTGTGGTGATGATATAGCTCGCGGCCCACTCACCGGACGCGACGTGTTGTTCTATTTACTATCTACCCAATTCCTATTTTCAAAAATTAGTTTACAAGTGTCGCTAAACAAAGCTCAAAATAAATACTATATCCACCCACTAACTCGGTCCTTAATCATTTCACATCGACTTTCTATAAACGATATCCGTAAAGTAACAATATTTTTAAAATAACATTAACGAATGTTTTTGAAAAAATATTGTTATAGGTGTTCTCCTTTTTTAGCATTACGTCAGCGGCCCTTAGTAGAGGGTTATTTTTAGCCATTTTAATTACATTTTTATTCAGAATAATATTATTTTTATCACTTATGGCTGATTTATTCAAGAAAACTTCTTAATTGCATACAAAATAAACGACTAAAGTTAACTTGAATGAACTGATGACACGATAAGTATTGAAAAGTCAAACATATCGAATGATGACTGAGACCTCGTTAGGGAGCGACGGCTGCCTCTCAGTTGACTTATAGTATTAGCAATTTGTATTCTATCGTGTGTTTACAGAAATAATTCTTGTGTCTTTTTGAAATCGCAGCTTAAAAGAGAAGTCCTATCGAGCGATGCGATTGTATGTTGAAATCTGGCAGATAAACATCAGTTTTTGCCATCAGCCATCAGTCTATAACGCGTTTTTACGAATAATTTCCGCTATTCAATCAATGATATCGCGCAATAAATTCAGCACTTCATTCAAAAACCGCCTTATAACATAAGCCTTTATTCAGCGGATTAAATATCTTTCTGTCCCTACACGAGTTCTGGTTTATGGCTACGATAAATCGTAATACTATAAGAACAAATATATTTTTAGGCCACACTTGTATTGAATAGAAAGCACTAGCGAATATGAATGTGTTGGTTAAGTAGGTGTCTTTGGTCAATAACTATGACGTTGGCACTCGAATTCACCTCATAAATTCTCTTAAAAATACACAATTAAAAGTTCATTCCTTAGTCACTAGTTAAAATATTAAATCTTATAAGAGAGTTTTGTTCTCGCCTGTACTTATTTATCAAATTTTTTGAGTTTCCATTCGGAAACTTGCGTATTATGCCGAGCTTGAGCTTGTAGCATTTAAAATTCCTACTATATTCATAATATTAAGTAACTAATACGATATTTTCCGTATTTAATTTTGTCTGAACGCTGATTCAAGTTGTCTCCTTGTTGACAAGTTGCTTCAAAATATTTTACAAAATATGGAAATTATCGTAATAATAACGTTGTTGTATTCCTGTTTGTACATTTGCCACGCTACATGCGTCTACAGTCTACACTAGTCCTGTGTGCAGGTGGTGCCGTGCGGCGTGGTTAGGGCGGTCGGTAGTGGGAGGGAGCGCCCGACGAGCCTCTGTCTAACGTTGGTATCCTATAAATTAAATAAGTAGAGTAATCAAAATATTTCTGTCATAGCGATCTTGACAAGAGTGATGAAATATCAAAGAAGTAAGATTCTTAGGGTTTAGAAATTACAAACTACGGTTAGTACCTTACATGATTATGAAGAAAGGTAAATTAATAAAATAGGTATTGTGAGAAGAAAGAGCCAGCTCATTGTGCAGATATCAAGCGTGATTCAAGTATAGTTCATTTTACATTTGTATGGAGTGGAGCAGTAGGCGCCGCGGCGCTGCACGATTATGACTCTTCTTCCATATCGACCGAGCGTCATACAGAGCGCTCTGAAACTTGCAATTCGAGACACTAACTACGAACAGAACAAGTCTTCAGATAACGATATAAGAAGCGTGTAAATAATGCTATAACGTCACGAAAAGGAAATACACATAAGCATTAGTTGGCGTGGACATCAGTGGCCGTGCGGTGAGGAGAAGCGGACTCGGAGCGCAAGCCGATATGTAGTACAGGAGCGCGGTGCCGGGGAGGAAGAGACCAGGGAGAAGAGGGGAGTACTCACATATCGGCTTGGTGTCTGGGGGCGGGCAGCAGCAGCAGCGGCGCACTCCCTGCGCCGCCGGCCGCCTCCACCGCCGCGTACAGCGGAGGCAGCACCTTGTGTGCCTCCACTGCGGACACCACACACGTTACACACGGACCACACGCACGCACAGTGGGCACTGCGCCGGGGCTACCTACCGGAGAGCGAGCCGCCCGGAGGCCGCGCCACGCCACCGTGTGCGCCGCCCATGCTCTTCGGTTTCCGCTTCCGGGTCTGAATGCCGTCCTTCTTCATGCTGAGGGGCCGGTTCACCTGCAACACGACGTGCGCTCAGCACCGCGGACATTCATCGACTCGCAGACACAGAACACCCTGCCGTCTCCTATCATCCTTTAAACAAGCCTATCTGCTAGGTGAAGAGATAATTGATAAAAGATTATTTATCTCATTATGAATATTCGTGACCGCGATGATAATTCTCTATCAGTCGGTAGCCCCACGTTTTATCTCGCGAGATTAGATGAGACCCTGTGTTTTGATTTTTTATACAGGCCCAATATTTGCCGAGGAGTTCCCTGATAACCGGCAGCACCGGTCTCCGATTAGATACCTGCCGCGTGTGTCGCTAATCAGCATAACATTACTATCGATGCACAATCGCTGCGTCGCGGTGATATTCCTCACTATCTAGCGCTCCGCAGATTGCACACTATCACTCCGCTCCTCGTTCATGAGAAGTTCAGTATTGGTGAGGTGAGGTTGATGAACACAGTGATGCCTTACGTTGTGCAGCTTGAAGTAGAGGCCGCACGCGTTGCAGACCGGCTCGCCGTTGTTGTTCCGTCTCCAGAGCGTGGTGTTGGTGGTGCGGCAGTTCGCGCAGGTCACCCCCATGCGTCGGTTCCCGTTGCTCGGCTGCCATGACACAATTAACCCATAAGCATTTAGATTTAGCACATATTACCATTTGCAAGATATACTGTTATAAACTCACTAAGGCCTGTTGTGGCTTCGCTTTTTGGCCTTTAAGAGGCGGTCGATTAACTCCGTTGATCCTGGTGTAAAGGCCGCACGCGTTGCACAGGTAGTGGCCGGTGCCGTCGCGGCGCCACAGCGGCGTGGTCGCGGCCGCGCAGTTCACGCACTCCTTCACCTCACCCATGCCGGCCATGCCTGAGCAGTCGACAGCTTCATTAGAAAACCAGCAAGAAAAAAAGCTTTGGTAGAAGCGATGTATTACAAAAACTTACTAGGATCGAAGCCGTCATCAATAGGAAGTAAGTTATGTGCGGGCCAAGCCTGGGTCGGGGCCGGGTAGCCTTCTACCAACAACCCACCCTCGTACCCAGACACGGGGACGTATTCCACGCCCCCACTTTGTCCGAGGTAGTGCTCTCCCCCGACTTTGTATTGAACCGTGTTGCCGTGTGTATACAATGTTACCTGTCATCAAAGAGTTTCAATAGAGTTTTATTAAATTTTTAATTTGTAAATTACCAAAACTATTTCACGACACAGTGGTTATAATTTAATGAATAAAAGTCTTACTTGTTGGGAATTAGGGCTGGGCGGGGCTTCATATACAGTCTGTGACTGTGGCACCACGGAGCCGTAGACCACGTGAGCACCGCGCGTCGTCAGCGAGGAGGAGGAGAGCGTCGGGTCGCTGCGGTACAGCAGCTGTCCCGGCGGCGACTCGTCCCCGCGGCCCGCCGGCGCCGACGGTCCCGAGCCTCCCCCGTACAGCGTCAAGAGCTCCTTGTTACTGCCTCCGTAAGCACTGTAGCTGGTGCCGCCGTACTGTGGGCTTTGTCCAGCATATGCATATCCTCCGTGGACGGAGGTAACGGGCTGCAAGCTGGCGTACGTGGTGGGGCGCGGCTCGGGCTCACCGCGCGTTTCGTACTTCACTTGTTGATACGCCACGCCGACCGACTGTTGGTTATTTAATGAAGTCGTTTGGATCATCTCCAGTGCGGTCGAGGCGGCCACTTGTTCGCCAAGCACGGCCGCATATTGTCGGCCGTCTACGGGGCCAGCTTCACTGGTTGCAGCGTAAGCTTGAAGTTCGTTTTTATCTTTGTGAGACAAAAAGGCCTCATGCGCTGGATCTTCTCCTTCCCCCTCTTGAGATACGATCACATGATGGGGCGCTCCGTAACGCAAGGCGAGTCCGCGACCGTAAGCGGGTCTCTGAGGTGCTCGGGTATACTGCACTGGGAGTCGTTTATCTACAGGGATCGGTGACTGCATGGATCTGTAGGGTTCTTGCTTGAAGGCGAGATACCTCGCGGTCTCTGCTTCTGCTAGCCTCAGCCGTTCTTCGTCATAATGCTGCTGTTGCAGCTCTCTGGTTTCTGCGCTCTCCTCCAGCTTGGGCGCGTACTGTTGCATCTGTTGCTCGTGTTCCAGCTGGGAGTGCTCGGGCGGCTCGTCTTTGACGCCGTCGTCGTGTCCGACGTCGCCTGCGTCGTCAGTGGTAATGTGTCCGGCGGCGGTGATGGTGCGCACGGTGCGCCGCGACGTGATCACGGACTGTGCCTGCGGCGAGTGCTCGTGCGCGGCGCCCTGCTGCTCGGGGGCGGCAGACACGACCTCGGCGGCGACGGCCTCGCTGTTCTGTTCGCTCTCGTGTCTCTCTTCATTCTTGACGAGCTGCAAGGCTTCCACTGCATGGCTGTTTTCTTCCTCTCGACGTTCGTCGCTCGCTCGCACTATTTGACCCACGTTGTCCATGTCGACTGCTAGAATGACAAACGTGTCCTACATAAGTCTGAATAATGATCCGCATAGGAAGTAATGACTATAAATGGCGTAGGATCTTTAAATGTTCGCTGGGTTTTTGAGCTATTGTGTAAGCAAACTAAAGGTTACATTTATGGAGCGGAAGAGTCGGGCCGACAGCCCGACGCGGATGCGGCGAGCAAATAGGAACAAGTCCGTTCGTAGAGGACGGGCGGCGCCGCGGCGCGTGCCTCGACACAAACATATTACTGCTCTGTTACAACCTAGTTGTTCGTTACACAATACACGTCGTGGAGCTATGAACTCTGCTTGTGTGGATTCAAATACTGCCTGAGCTGCCTGAAGTAAATCTTTGTTTTGTATGACCGTTCAGGGTAGAGACTCTTAATAATAATGTTCTATCAATCCAATAACACAATATTTAGCGTCCCTCATTGCTGGACCGAGGGTCGTAGGTTCAATTCCCACACCTGGCAAATATTCGTGTAACGAACGGATTTGGTTGCTCTGTTTCTATGTGTACCTATATATTTAAACGTATATAAGTACATGTCGTTGGGTCCTCGGTGCCTATAGTACCTACAGGAAATCCGGCGCGAGGTGCCCGTGTGTGATTTGTCTTCGATTATGGAATTTAGTTTAAACTTTTAATGTAGCCGTTTATCCTTTACATTTAGCTAATAATTTATTTAGCTACCTACATTTACTTTTTTGCTACTTGAATTTTTGAGTACGCCATTATTATTTTTTGCTTATGTTTGTGGATGAGCTCACGGCCCGCCTGGTGTTAAGCGGTTACCGGAGCCCATAGAAATCTACTATGTAAATGCCGCCACGTACCTTGAGATATAAGTTCTAAGGTCTCAGGCTTACTATAAAGTCAATGATTATCTAGAAGATTGCACAAAGTGGGAATGAGTTGCTCGTTCCGGGCATTTCAATATTGTAAAATTGTTATGTTATAATTACTTATTGTAATATGAATATTAAAAAAAAAACTAATATTTAAAATAAAAATAAAAATCTAATTTAAAAAAAAAAAAAAAAAAAGACATGCCCGCTGAGTTTCTTGCCAATTCTTCTCAGGACGGAGGCTAGTTCTTGTGAATTGGCGGTAGTTCTTTTGACGTTCAACAAGTATGTACTTTCATTTATGTTGAATAAAACTTTTTTGATTTGATTTGATTTGATTTGATTTGAGTATAGTTACAACGGCTGCCCCACCCTTCAAACCGAAACGCATTACTGCTTTACGGCAGAAATAGGCAGAGTGGTACCTACCCGTGTGGACTCACAAGAGGTCCTACCACCAGTAATTACGCAAACTATAATTTTGCGGTTTTTACTACAAGATGTTATTCCTTAAGCATAAGCAGTCTATTAATAATACGCCATTCCGACCACTAACTGAAACTATTACTAGTGACACCTCACATGTTGCAACCTGGCGAAAGACTTAGGTTGTAAATAGTGTCAAATAATGAGACTTATATACGCTAGGGAAATACCAATAAAAACGAATAGGGTAGTTAAATTAAACCGTCTTTTTAGCCTAACGGATGGGCAAGTGTATGGAGTGTCACTGCAAACAGATATTATTGAACAATAATTCATAAACCAGAATGACTCAGCGCACGCTCAAAGCTCTGCAAAACTTCTCAAAAAACCAACAACAACGAAGTTTTCATTTTCCTGCTGGGGATTGACAGAGTGATATCTTGGCGACAACGAGTGAAATTATCAGCTCAAATGTATCAAGATACAATTTTCAAGAAAGCATTTAAGATAATAGAAGGTAGTTAGCGACAATGTGTTCCGTAACCAAGAATAGTCCTTCCGCCAAAACTCGGCACCGGGTCGCAAAGCTCGATGCACACAAACGTGACCCGAAGGTAATATTCGTGACTTCGACAAAGCTAAAGACTGGCCGTCGTCTAGCCCTAGCACTTAGCCAGGACAAACAAACATAACACCAAACAAAAAGGATTGTGTGTCTCTTGTGTTTTAGTTAAGTGGAAATAGCCAAATGAGCACAAATAAGCTTTCCTTTAGAAAAATAATATTTATATCAAAGCTATCTACTGTTGTCGAACGTCTGGTGCCCGTGGTAGGCAGGACGATCACGGTGCGCCACGATTGTAACTACGACGATTTTACGATATTAAAAGCTGTAGATCACACTAGCAAGTTGAACACGAGAACTGAATGGGACATGAGCAGACATTTGCAAACAAACTACTCAGAGGCGGGGGTCGTTAGTCCTCCGACCCCGCGACCTCCGCCCCGCCGCCAACAACAACATTATATCGATAAACCTCGGTGTGGAGTGTCGGAGTGCGCGCCTCGAGGGCCGCCACGCTTTTACTAAACTTTGGAATCCAGCTGCTGCTCCTGCGGAACACAGCTTGCCGACGCGACGCACTGGAAGCGTCAGTTCTGAGGTGTGCTCACGAGCCACCTGGTGTTAGATCATGTTAGCTCAGAAGCACATAGGAATCGCAACTTAAATGTCGCCATACACGTTGCGACACGTGTTTATTGTTGTATAAGATGCGAACCTATCAGACCGGGTCGCATAGATTGTTCGCGGCAGTAATAAGCAGAGCACTGGCACCTAAGTATGTTGAATCACAATATGTTTAAATCTAAAATAGCGACACACCTGTTATACTATTTCGAGAATTTGTGCATATCCGACGACACGGTTAAATCTTTTGTGACCTGTTAATTGTTGTAGATTATAGCAGAGCCCTTAATGGTTAGGAAGATTATTTAAGAATTCTGACTCGAGTCTTGTTTGTTCTCTATATTACATTTCTCTATTAGGCTATGAAGTTAGACCAGATGTCCTAAACAGAAACTTAATTTACTCGTCAGGGGAACAGTTAGCTGTTATCTGCCGCCGAATTTTTTTTTTCGAATTTTTCGATAGAAAAAGTAACTAGCCTTTCACCACAACTCCGTCCGCGAATACTACGTTATATTATGTCGCATTAGCAGACACCCGTGTTTAGCGGTAGAATTAAAAATAACTAATATTCTTTCCATACCAGTAAATGTTATGAGTCTGTTCAGTACTTTATGCGCGAAAGCGTAATGGACAGACAGAGTGACATTGTATTAATAACATTGACTGCCATGTTACTTATAAAATGTAATACAGTATAGAAATAAATTCCAAAAATCCTTAAAACACGATATTTTTATGATAAATTAGTACATTCGGCTCTAAACTAATCTGTCTAACTAACCTGTAGGTATGTGTAAAAACTACCTGAGAATCCGTTCATTAGTTCCGGAGATGTGCGCAAACAAACAAACAGACTGACCGAAGTCTTCGAGTTTAAAACTCGCTAAATTTTTATGTTATTGTTCTTAAGCTACCGTTTTCGTTTTTAATTACGTATGTTCGATGTACAGACGGACCGTTACTGTTACTACTGTTGTATAATATGCTTTGAATGTTGATAATGTTGATTAAAATATGCCGTCTCATTAAAACTCATTAAATCATTCAGAAGGCCGCGTTGAGTAAAGTGGATTTACTGTAAGTGATATCAGTCACATAAACGATGCACAGCAATTAATTATTAGAGAGAAGGTCTCGCGCTGCACCGCCTCCGCTCCGTCGCACCGTCGCACCGTCGCACCGTCGCACCGTCGGCCCTCTCATCGTCAGTACGGTGGAGCACGTCAGCTGTCAACGGTGTGTACCTACAATACATGCATCTAGCAACAGTTATACGGAGCGTGTTTCAGCATCGAATTAACGATCTTCTGTTGACGAGCACGAGCGACGCGACGCTGCTACAAGACGAGCTACTGTTCACAACAAACGTGTAATTTACTTAAATTAATAATTATCAAATAATTTAATTGTTATCAGTGTCAGTTCACTTAAAGAATATCACGTACGAGGTGTTTGACACACCTGGGGCTCTAATTCTATTGGACACTAATTAATATTTTAGTTACAAAGTTTACATCATTGTTATAATATCCTTAAACGTTTAGACATCAAAAAGAGCTTTAAGTTACTATAATAGCTTAGTAAGTTACTTAGTAACTAAATTATACAAGTAGAGAAGCTATACAAATTATTAGCTATACAAAATATCTCTCGTCTCTGGGGTAAATTAGACGTTCAATAAAACTATGAACACTATTATTCTTAAGCTCTTCCATATAGGTACGTATTTTTTATCATTTTTTTTTGCTTAGTTGGGTGGACGAGCTCACAGCCCACCTGGTGTCAAGTGGTTACTGGAGCCCACAGACATCTACAACGTAAATGCGCCACCCACCTTGAGATATAAGTTCTAAGATCTCAGTATAGTTACAACGGCTGCCCTACCCTTCAGACCAAAACACATTACTGCTTCACGGCAGAAATAGGTAAGGCGGTGGTACCTACCCGCGCGGACTCACAAGAGGTCCTACCACCAGGTATATTATACCTACATTATATCTGTAATGCACTATTGAGGTCGACAAACATCGGTCGGAGCTGACGGAGATCGCGACGTGAATCCGGTCCGTCACTCTGTGACACACAGACTGAGTCTCTCTTCCGTGGCAATGTTCAAGGATTCCCCTTGAAGTACATGATTACTTCGTGACAAATACATATCTAGAAACCCGAAATTATTCTATTACCACGTAAGACTGCAGTCATCCACAATGAGGCAGTTGTGAAAGCGAGCTATACAAAAATAAGTAATTTCACAAGGAGAGAGAGATGATGCAACCCTCGCGCTTCGTGTGCTGTACTGTCCGGGAGCTAGTGAGTGGAGGCGGCGTGTCCACGTGTCGTCACCACGACCTCTCACTGGAGCAGTCTGTGCCGCCCCGCGAGCATCTTCACTATAGCTAAATACTGACAAACGGATGGACATATAGACAATTCTTTTTGATAATCGCAATAGTCATCATGTTGATTAGACCCGGGTTCAGCACCTAGGCATAAATTCCCCAAACAAAAATTTACCTAT